TCGTATAATGCAGGCGCAACCCTATATAAAAAATAACCCTATACACGCAAGTGCAGAGGGGAATCCGGAGTTCCGAACTACGCCAACGATCGAAGATCAGGGACGCTGCCGTTTTCGCCAAGGAATCGAAGATAAGGTGGGCCGGACACGTCATGCGATTTTGCGATGACCGTTGGACCAGAGCGGTTACCGACTGGATCCCTCGGGACGTCAAACGAACACCTGGACGACCGCCGGCCCGATGGTCAGACTTCTTCACGAAAGCTCTGAACGAAAGGAATGAAGGACTTCGTGTCCCTCGAGCGAGGAGGATCCACTGGACACTCTTGCACGCGACAGGGACGAATGGAGACGTTGCTGGCGCCCGCTCGAGCAATCGATGATCAACGGGACGACAGGTGATACAGGTGATAAAATCTATCAGTGATCATTATAACAGCTTCCTGCACCAATACATCACATGAATTTGCCATAAGAATCCTTGTGCATGGATAGAGCTCAACGTGGTCCTCGAAAGATCATTTGCCTTTACAACTTTATCTGAAGGCTGGTCATAAAGGATCTTCAAGGCTGGTCATAAAGGATCTTCCATATTCATAGTTACTGTCTCTAGGAACAGTTAGTGGCCCGACTTTGTAGAAATTTCGTAGCAGCTTCAGACTGGAAGGATCACGATAAGCTAAACAGTGATGGGAGATGACGTCATATTTTGAGGACGATGAAAGCAGTAGAGGAAGGCTTGCTTCTACTTATGGGAGGATAACGCGGATAAAGGATAAAGCATTTGCCGTTGATCAATCCCTTTTTGGGATGCGGCACGCATTCTACTTCCATTTGTACATTCGTAGTGGCGTTTGAATGCGATGTGGCCTATACAATGACTTGCGGGGGGGGGCCAGCCGATGTACAAGTCAGTGTTTTTATCCTCCCAGACAAGTCTGGTACCAATTAACCGACCCCGGAGGGATGGAAGGCTTGGTTGGCCCGGGCGACTCACGACCCAGGATTTGATCCCCGGACCGCTCGCGTGGTAAGCGTGCCACTTGCCACTACACCACTTCCGCCCATGGTAGGATATCTAAGGGATATTTTGCTGTGAAACTTTCATCAACAGCAGCGCACTGAGCAAGGAAAGGTTTTATTATATGCGCCATAGAAAAAGTGTCTTTCTTGGCCACCCCTGTAGAGACATTCATGATAATGGGCGTGTTGGGGAAGAGGGGTAGTAAAAATTCAGAAATTTACGCACCGCACATTGTCCCTGCTATGCCCACGCTCTTCCCGTTAAAGTATTGAGTCACCCTCCTTAGGTAATTTTGAAGTAACAATTACAGACGTGTGGGGGACACCTACGTATTTGTGGGGAGCGGACAGACAAACAAATTGTGGTTTACAGGGTGTGCAAAAATTTCGGTAACAAAAGGTTACCCCTGTCTTTTTCGAAACCTGGACAATTTTATGCATCTATTCAATAAATCAGAGTTCCATCTTTGATTTCATCATATAAAATATATTAACTTCGGAATCGAAATCTTTAACTCCTCGAGAAGTCACTATTTTGTTCCGACGAGCTGCTTGGTCGTGGTTCTTGCAAAACGACTCAGAAGCTCTCTGAAACTTCCGTCTACAGTAATTACAAAGTAAGTTTGAAAGGCTGTTCGCCAGTTTCAGTAGGCCTCGTGCGAAGTTGCACTGGAAGCTATCTTGCCCATCACGTGGTTTGTTCGCTGAAAATGCTGTTGAGCACACTTTCTTGAAACGTATTACTTGCACGCCTCTTAGTAAAAGAGTTGACAAGCATAAAAATGCCTAACTTCCGGCTATGCGTGGCCTTGAATAGAAATCAAAAATGCTAAATGACATTGTCTCGATTTCGTAATGAGCTCCATATATCAATTGTTTCTTTTCGTGAGGAGATATTCTGCTGTCGGCTCAGTCTTGAATAAGGAGGGAAATCGAAGCAATACTGGTGAAAAGCCAACCAGCCATTCTGATTTTCGCAGAAATCAAGAGTAGGAACCAGGATTTATAGACACCTGGGATCTCTGCCTCCTTTGGGACTTAAATGCGGAAGCAGCCTCAATGGGAAACGCATCACAGGAAGATTGTGCAGATTGTCCAAAAAACCATGACAACAGTATCGTGGAACTCATCGTATTAGAAAAGTGCCAACATAGCTCTCGCATCTCAAGTCTTACGGAATGCTCTCTCTAGAGTGCGCCGAAGGCAAACCATTGCTACAAGCATAATGGGATCATCGACCAATACAGCAGTCGCTCTTGAAAATTTTCCACCTTTTCGACAACACCCGCCTCCACAGCAGGGTCAATGACTTTCCAGGGAATCTGCGTTCATATTAACTCTGTAAGGGTTCCGGCAATATGGCTGTGTTGTTAACACATTGACGACAACGCGGGGGATATATATCCCGCGCATTGCAGGCCATGTCGGACCGTGCGGGATATATATCCCCGCACCCATTACACTCATTTTTTTCGCGCACGCCTGATTCTTTTAGAAGTTTCTTGTATTCATTTCCATGGAAGAGACCTTGACGTAGCTACAAACATAGTGGCCCATAGAATGGTCACGTATGCTTTAATTTAGAGGAGGATTTCTGAACCATACGAAATCTTCAGTTCAATAAATTTTTCGTTTACTTTTTCTTTTATGAATGTGAAGATTTAAATAGTAGTAGAAGTAGATACGGAACCTTAGGGATGACAATATGTGTGTTTTGATTGGAATAATCAACGTAAAATTGCTTTTGAGGTCCATTGCAGCTAGTTCTGAAAAATTTCACTTTTTCATTGTTATTCCATGCCATTCGATCGAAATTCCACTACTGTACCCCTGGGTAGGTTGTGCTCATTGCAATTTACTGATCTGGTTTTGTATTGATCATTATTTATGTATTTATCACTCAAAATCTGCTTGAACGACCTGAGGCGGCCGCGCCCGCAAAATCGCCCGGTCCCACGTGGCCAAAAAAGCCAAAACTCGCATTGTCGTCAATGTGTTAACTTGGGGCTTTTCGGTCAAACTGCTTTTTTATGACCATTTTATACCGTAAATTTTGCCTGCCCTCTATTAGTATGTAGTATTATTTCGGCACGACCAACACCTCTATGTAACCTTATTATAATTTCTGCCCTACAATCTGAACTCGGCCTTCAAAATCATCTACCCGCGAGTTAGAGTAGAAATGCAGCGTATAGTACAAATTGTAATTATTGAAAATAGTACTATGTAGTTGAAAAGAGAGCTGTAGTGTCCAGTTGAGTGTAACATGGCGCCAATGTGTGCGCGCTTTAAGGCACGAGTTTGAAAAAAGAGGCTACATTTCTTTGGTAAGGAAAGCTAACCTAACCTCTTGCAGACCATTTCCTCGTAGAGTCCAAATTATTGTCGTGATTCTCACTTTCTCCAACAAACAGCGAAAGCGCTAATACAGTAGGGTATGAAAGCGCAGTCAAACGCGTCACGACCAACGAAAATCTGTTGAAGAAGGGTCTCAGCAAGTTCAGAGCAGGGACGAGAATGCTTTTTGAATGAAGTGAGAAAGATGGCGAGTTACACTCCTTGAAAGCGTGTTACTAAATCTGCAGAATTGTATGCTTGTGGATAAGGGATGGGAGGGGATAGGAAACGCTCATCTCCAATGACCGCGAATTGCAGTGCAGCCAGACTTTGACAAGAAAAACATTGTAATTTCTAATTTCAGGTACAATATCACAAACATCGTCAGAATCCTCACCACAATTTTGTTCTAAACTGCAGCTATGGCCTGTGATGCGATTGTTACTGTCTCATGACGACTATTTTCACTGATCTTCGCAAAGTACTTACTCGAGTAAATGTTCAAAGTAGTAAATATTTCCTGAAATCATTTCAAGAGCTTGACTAATATAATTTCAGTAAAAGTGATTCAGATAACATCCGCACGATATTTGTGAGGAATTTGAACACTCCGCAGACACGTGCAACATGAGTATCCCAAGGCCGCATAGAGAAAAAAATTTGGCGATCGATTGAGCACTTCACCGGGATTTATAACGCCGTATACCTTTCCTAGTAAACAATTGTATTCGAGTGACTGTCGTGAATCACGACTTACACTTCAAGGAACCCTCGGATGCGCTGACGCCCGTTTTTTTGGTTATACATCCACTTTGAGCGGCCCTTCGGAAACGGGCTTTACCTCTGTCATTGAGTCATCGTTTGGTTGTTTCATTGTGATGTTAAAACATACATTATTTCATAGAGAATTAACATGTATTTTGAAAGTGGAAGGCTTAACCCTCGAGTATCAAACTATTCGAATTATGAGTTACATTGATGTCGCTCGTGGTGTAATTGAGTATGGTGTTGAACCAGGAGCCGGGAGCAAGTGATAGTTGTCTAGCACTGCTCATTAATAAGCTTTCATGTCCGGTGGGTTCTGGACTTGATATCCTGCCGAGGGAACCACCAACGCAACAGTGATCCCGCATTGTAGAGTAGCTTGGAGGCTCTTCTGGATGCTTATTTGGCTTTTGTTTTAGCGTCAGCTGCATTCGTTGAAAAGAACACGAGAAAAGGATAGGTATGAGGAGGTAGTGCTGTGAGACTTGATGTCCAAAAATCCTGCCGTTGCACGCACTATCACGCAAGAAAAAACCCCTCTACATCTGGAGGCATTTGACATTCATAAAATTACACAAACTGGCGAGGGCAGTGACTTTTGGGTTAATCGATTTTTCTCCCGATCGTCATCTCAGTCTTAATCATTAGTGTTGCACATAAAGGGATTGTAGTGCTTGGCTGCGAATCCGTTGTCTCCGGCCTTCGTTATTTCCTAAAGTTCTTGTCTACTCGCGCTCACAGATGCTAAATCTCTTTCATTACAACCTTTCTGTTTCGACCTGGGCCACAATTACCTTGTCACCTTGTATATGCCGCATCCTGTAGAAGCCGGTAAGGTTGTCAAAAGGGGTGACGATGCAAAGGGGACACCAGGTTCTTGACATGGGGCCGGGTCAACGTAGCCCTGCTATTCCCCTGGGTAGCCTGCATCCGATGAAGAGCTGGGTTCGTCATAGATCATGTAGGGGTTTAGTGTGTACGCAAACATTTAATTGAACGGAAACCTAAACTGAGAACAATGTAGAAAGAAAGAGTGATATTATTTGAACTGGCGTCCACTCCGCTGCTAAAGGGAGAGTGCGAATCACATCTTCTTGTGGGACAACCCCATACCTAAATAATAGCGTGATTAAGCAAGAAGCGGTCTACGATGCGAGCGACTAGGGAGTGGATTATCGACATGGACAACGATAATCGTTGATCAAACTAATAATCACGCTTTTTTTGGGTATGGGTTTGGCTCACCAGTAAGTGTGATCCGCCTCACTCTCTAACAGCGATGACAGTACGCTAATTCGAATAATGCTACTACTGTTTTCTGCATTGTTGTATGAGCTATTGGCTATTTGGGTATGGGGTTGGTTCACCAGAAAAAGGTGGTCCGCACTCTCTTTTTGGGACAGCGTAGAGGACAGTACGCTAATTCAAATAATACTACTATCTTCTACATTGTTAGTTGTTAGTTCAGTTTAGGTTTCCGTTCAATTACATATTTGCATACACACTGAACACGAATCTTGAATGTGGTGGAAGACGCGTAACTTTTAAGGGCTACATATAGCTAGACGACTGTAGGTATAGGGTTGGGCATAAATATGGTGACAATGTAATTGTGGCCCACTTCAAACCAGAAAGGTCGAAACGGGATACCAAATACAGCAACGTGCAGACATATCCTTCCGAACAATTGTTGAGATTTCTATTCAAAATGGCTTCCTACGCTTGGCAAATTTCTTCTAACCTACCCTACAAGAATTGATTCTTGCTCGCACGACATCCTCCAGAAACTCAATCTCAGAGAGCAAGTATTAGCGACCCATTCAAACAGCGTTGTTTCGAGTGCTACCTTAGCCTCAGTATCGAATACAGTAAGAACCCTTTAACAAAACTGGAAGTTTTGTCGAGCCAATCTTTATCCGGTCCAAAGTCGTAAAATGGGCTCTGCAGTGGACTTTCGCAAAACTCAACGCATGAGATGGCATATCGCCTTGTCAGTCAATCCAAAGGTCACGAGTATGGACTCTTCCCCAAATACTATCTTGGATAGCATTCGGCTTAAAATTTTACCTCCACATCAACTGAGATGAAGAAACTGCGGTCACTCCGGCTCAATTCATAGCTGAGCTTGGAGGGTGGCATTTGATTGACGTCGTTCCAGTTCTGCTACTTTCTTCAATAACTCCTAGTAGTTAGCTCTGAGTTCTCTGGTGAAGGCACGATTGTCCAGAAAAATGTCAAAGGTTTTTACTGGCTTACATACAGACACCCCTCGCGGCCCGTCTCCAAAGCCCTAGTTATTTTTAACTCGCTCCTCCTCTTCCTATCCTACAGATCTTGTCATTTACGGTATTCGAGCTGAACTCTACGCACCGTTTATTGAGATCCATAACTCATCGACACATACGATAAAGGCTGAGACTGGGAATCCCAGTTCAGGAATTGCTAGAGCCAATCACCAATTTATGATCATGGAAGCGTGAAGCCATAGAATTACATACAAAAGACATTTGCATGTGCCCTTCGAATGAGGTCGACCAGTTGCTGCAGTTGAGAAGCGTGCGCCTGGGAGATTTCGTGAATCCGGTAGGAAAGAGTACGGAGTAGAATCTCGAACTTTTGGAAAAATGGGGAACCCCGCCAATAAGATCAAACCTTTTCTCGCAATGGTCACCTTTTGACTGTTTATGAGGTTTTCCTGGATGGGAGCCATCGACGCGGCGTGCTATTGGCATGCTGAATCGTGCTATCACCCCT